CAGAATCTTGTTGTGAGACCGACCTACGAAACCCTCAATTACACATTTTCATTCTAACTCAAAGTCGAATCAATATCTAACCAAGAGATTCCTCCAAAATCCAATTCCATCCAACTCATTTCTCTGATCGACTTCAGTTTCTCCTTAGGTTGACATTTAAACCCACGACGGGAAGGCACTATAGGATACATGTGATTACCTTCTATTCGTTCTTATAATACAAATGTGTCAACATTGGATAGTTTTTTTGAGGTGGAATTCACATTTAGTTGTTGCTTCTAATCCATTAATGGCGTATGCTTTCCTAAAATATTTAGCAGGCTAGTGCTTGATTTGTGTCTTTATCTTTTTGGAATACATCTATTTTTTATTTTTGGTATTTAAGTAGAGTTTCGAGACATCCAGTAAATCAGTAATATGAGATATATTCACCCAATTTCTTGATGAAGTAGTAGAATTTTCCCACAATGATATGAAAGTCTCCCCAATATACACAAATCTAGTCACAGCTCTAAGGCTGTAGTGTCACGGTTTGACTCCCTCTAGGAGCGTTGACAAGACCTAGATAGGGTCTAAATTGCAGTCCACCCTGGATAAGAACAACTTTTGGGTAAGCAAGGCTATATGAAACAAAATGGAAACGTCAACTCTACTAATATCATTATGGGAAAATTCTACTACCAGTCCTTCATCACTTTAAACGAAATTGGGTGAATACATCTATTTTTTAATTGGTTCAGTTGTTCATTTGTCCTATTCTTTGCTCTATTAGACATTAAACATATACATAATTGACTGAGTTCTTTATAAAATATTGAGCAACATTTTTGTTTCGATTTACCCTAAAATTCTAGCTGTGCCCTATGGCTGATCGGATGCTCCTTATACTTAATCTACTGTGCTGAAATTATTTGGAATATTCTGAAGCTTCAGAACGATCTGCTCTAAGGTTATAGCCCTTTAAAAAGCAGCTATCTATACGTCATAAATAATAACCAGAGATACGACAGAGTTATATATGCTTTACTTGAACTTATTTTATCTGGTATCACCATTCTCATGGTTTCTCCGCTCATTTATTCATAATTTCCTGTCTTCCAGCAGCTGTATTTGACCCTCACATTGCCAACCGGTTTGAAAGAGCTTACTTTTCGACTCCCACCAGCTGGTATACATACTCGGTGCTTTATTTAAGAGAAAGTTGGTTCTTGTTCAGTTTCCTGTGGCTTGCTAGTCTATATTTCTCTCTTGATTTGCGTTATACAGAAACTTGACCTCTCTTCTACA